TATCTGGGTTTTGCTCACTGCTTTAACCTTAGTACTCAACACTAGGACTGGCCTTTAGTAGATGCTAAACACTTCCTGAAGGATTTAATGGCATATGTGGAAAGCATTATGTCTAGTGCTTCCGTATGTCCTCTCCATGTAAGCCTCACAGCTTCTGTGATATGATTACCATTTTTACCATCAAAAAAAAAAAAAAAGTCTCATAGTTCCTAAATAGTGGAATCCATGAAGTAGAAAATTCCAAAACTAGAATGAAAGGGACAGCTCATTCCTATTTTTTTGTCTTGTAAAGATCCTTTAGAAGGAAAAACTCTTTATACTTTTCTGATCATCAGTTATTAAGAGTAATAAAGAAAAGGTTGAAGAAATAAAAGCACTGTCTCTTTTGTATATACTGTTCATTGTTTGGAAATGAAAATTTATTATTTAGAACTATTCTGTTTCTGTCAGGAAACATGTATAAACCTTCCAAGTCAGTGAGTAAGACAGAAATTCTGAAGTACTTAACTTCAAGTCATCTCTTAAAATGAATCTTGAGCCTTCAACCAGTCTGTTGTTACATGACTCCTGCCATTGAAGTGTAGGATACTACTGCCACGGATGAATCACTGGAAGACTTTTAGCACATGTCGCTGAAATCCTATGTCCTTCGTTGTTTACCATTCAGGTTTTTTAAATTATTCCTATTAAACTTCATTTTTCATAATGTTTGAGGTGATCTGAAAGGACAATAGAAGGATCATGACCTTGTTCCTGTGTAGAAACAAGCAAAGAGAATTTAGAGTCTCTGAAATGAATATTTCTTAATTGTTGACCTGAGGACCCACAAAGCAATAATCACATTTTCACATATTCTTAGCCATTTGAAATTGGGATTTTATATGTTTCAGGGCAACTCAAATTTTATGTAGCATGATAGAACTATATGTGTACTTTCAGTAATTATATGACGTGGTATAGTTTACCTATTAGATCTGTTGGTTTGTATAACATAGCAAATATTAGACCATAGGTGTGCTTTTTTGTAAAAATGGTTTTATATTTAATATATATATACCTCATACTTTGTTGAAATCAAAACAAGCTTTTAACTGATAAGCTTTTAGAAATATCATCCTGAGCTGTTTCTGTCTACCACTTGAATTTCTGTTTTTCTCCCAAATGAATCTTCTCTTCCAAAAGTGTGTGTGTGTGTGTGTGTGTGTGTGTGTGTGTGTGTGTGTGTGTGTGTATATACCATTTATTTTCTTTCTTTTTTTTAAGAGACAGGGTCTCACCATGTTGCTCAGGCTGGAGTGTGGTGGCTCTTCACAGGTGCGATCATAGCACACTGCAGTTTATTAGTTTAAAAGGATTTAAATGCTAATGTTTGATGTGATCTTGGAACATTATCTCAACTTTCTAAGCCTCAGTTTTATCATTTTTAAAGCAGACTTAATAGTAGTGTCTACTGGGATTTTTGTGTGAATTACCTAAAATGATAAAGTGCTTGACATATAGTAAATACTCAAGATTAGCTTCTGCTTTTTATCAATATGATATCACATCATGAACAACAGTAATAGTAATGATAACAGTAATAATGGATATTCGTGTAAGGGTATGTTTCTAATTTAATACATGTGTTATATAACTTCCACTTACACAGTTTTTATAAGATCACATGATGTGTGTAAGAGTTGATTAAACTGAAATATGAAGTGTCAGATTTGTATTTTTCTGGTTTTTGGGTCTCTTTCTGGTTGATGAATATCATGGAGTATTTGGATTCTAAAATTTGACTTTGTATTGGTTATATGAATTATTATTTTAGTGACTATGCAAATTGAACTATATCATAAAGTCAAATGATATTCTATAAAAATCACTTCTAAATACTATGTGATACAATCAAGACTGCAAAGCAGGTATTATTCTCATACACTTATTAATTCGCTTATCATTCAATAACTCTTGATTGATCAACTTTTATGGGCTAGGCTTTCTATTGTTTCTAGGGCTATGCAGATAAAAAGAGTTCACACCCTTGAGGAGTACAGCCTATGGAAAGTCAGGCTTATGCACTGATAGATAACTTTATTATGATACAAGTTAGAGTAAGTATCTTAATCAAATGTGTAGAATTCAGAAGAGATAGTGACAGCTCTGCTTGAGTAAGCCAGGGGAGACTTCACAGGGGAGAGAATATCTGAGGTGGGACTTGAATATTTCTGAGCAGGATAGGAGAGGGCATATAGCATAGGGAGAGGCTTATGTAGTTTTTCAGCTTCCATTTAATGAGTTAGCTTGGGTTATCCAGGGAGCCTTTGAGAGTGAAATCCCTTCCTTCCCCTACTCTCAGCCCCATTGGCCAGCTTCATCTACTATTTATGCGTCAATGCGTGTTTCCTTGTTAAATGGAAACCTAATATAAGTTTATTCTTGTTAGAACAAATACGTATCATGATAAACCTCAGGAAATATATGTCATATCAAAATGATATCATAAAATATTTAATTGGTCATCTTGGGTTGATATAATGCAATTTTAATCAATTAAAGCATCTATTCAGTTAATGTTTAAGTACCTATTGCATTCCAGGTACTGTGCTAGGATGGTAATACACGTTAGCTTTTAAAATTAATTAACTGAAAAAATAACGATTGACTAAAGTAAAACAATATAAACTTGTAAAGAAGCAGCACTGTTTTATAAACTCCAGAGAGCATTTGTTCAAACCTGTATCAGAGAGCAAAAAGGGCAATAGTTGCAAATATCAACTTGGTAGTTGCTGTCAAAAATTGTTTTTGAAATTAAAAAAAACTGCAAGAGTGGCCCATTTTAAGATTCTGAAAATTCTCTGCTTTCTTCAGCATTATATGGACAGATAAATTTTCCCTGCATTTATTCATGTCAGATTACTGGTACTGCTCAGAGTAAAGCCTGTCTTCTTTCTGTTCTCCAGTGTATTATTGTAGCAGATGGCTTTTAATAAAACATTTAGCTAAAGAAGAATTTTTACTCTAGGTTGGTGGAATGTATTATAATGATAATGGAAATTCTCAAGAGGAGATGTTTAATTTGGTATTCTTCTTTCTATTGAATAACATTTAGTGAAGATTTAATTGAAAAGTCAAATTATGGTATCTGTCACATCGTTTTTTATTTGATAAGTTTCAAAACTAAATTAAACCCTGTAGGTCATATAACCAAGTAAATATTTGCTTTTTCTTTACATGGTTTACTTTTTAAAAATTTAAGGCAGTTTATTAGTCAAATAACATTCAGTACTAGATTTCATTGAGAGTCAGAGCATTGCTTAATTATAGGGCTGCTCTGTTCTCTCATCACCTTATCTAGGTGTAGGCATTGAGTTTTTTGATAGAATGAGGTTATTTCAGCTGTGTCTGTACCATTGGTATTTATAAAAACCACAGGCTGTTGTATAAAAACTACATTACTGATTTAAAATTTACAAAGATTTCTTCAGAAAATTTATAGTTACAAAAAATTTACTAACCAAAACAATGAGGCAGGGAAGGAGAATAAAGAGTACTCGCTGTGTTGTAATGTAAATGCCTTGAATATGTAGGCACTGGAAGGTCTTTACTAAAATAAACTAAGAATTGGCTCAGTACAGTGGCTCACACCTATAATCCCAGCACTTTGGGAGGCCGAGGCCCGCTGATTGCTTGAGCCTAGGAGTTTGAGACCAGCCCGGGCCACATGGTGAAACCCCGTCTCTACTAAAAATAAAAAAAATGAGCTGGGCTTGGTGGCACATGCTTGTAGACCCAGCTACTTGGCAGGCTAGGGTAGGAGGATCACTTGAGCCCAGGAGGCAGAGGTTGCAGTGAGCTGAGATCACACCACTACACTCCAGCCTGCCGGACGGAGCAAGGCCCTATCTCAAAAAACGAACAAACAAACAAACAAACAAACAAACAAACACCCTAAGAATTACTGAAAGAGATTTTTAAAGAAAATATACAATTTGTTTTCTCTTTTCTTGCAAATTGTACATTTGCTTATGGTTATTTTTTACAGGATAATTTAAATCAAAGTTTCTTTTTTTTTTTTTTTTTTTTTTTGAGACGTAGTCTTGCTCTGTCACCCAGGCTGTGGCAGTGGCACGATCTCTGCCCACGGCATCCTCCGCCACCCGGGTTTAAGTGATTCCCCTGCCTTAGCCTCCTGCGTAGCTAGGACTACAGGTGCGCACCACCACACCTGGCTAATTATTTTTGTATTTTAGTAGAGATGGGGTTTCACCATGTTGGCCGGGATGGTCTTGATCTCCTGACCTCGTGATCCGCCTGCCTCGGCTTCCCAAAGTACTGGGATTACAAGCATAAGCCACCACGCCTGGCCTCAGATTTTCTTAATCCTCATCCTTTGAGATCTTTCATTTACTGTCTATATAAGGGTGATATCTACATGTATAAAAACTATAATTATCCGTGAATTTGAGAACTAATAGTTTTCCTCTCAACTCTCCAACAGTTTGTATAAAAAGTTAAAAATATATTCTAAGTATTTTCATGTACTTAAGTGACATATTCTATTGTTAGTAACAAATGTAGTTTTTGTTATCCTTCAAATGTGTTTAATAGTTTTCAGGTAAATTAAGGAAAATATAATTTTCTAATATTACTTTCATTTTCATCTTATGGAATTAGAGTAGGAGTATACAGTTTTGAGGAAAGATGTTAGAGGTTATTGTTGAGCGTAGATTATTTTATGGCTTACATGGTTCACTTTTTAAAAATTTAAGACAGTGTGTTAGCCAAATAACACTCAATGCTAGATTTCATTGAGAGTCAGAGGATTGCTCTGTTCTTTGTCTTCACCTTGTGTAGTTGTAGTTGTATTAATCAGTAATAAAATCAGTACTTGCCTGGGCATAGTGGTTCACGTCTATAATCTCAACACTCTGGAAAGCCAAGGCAGGAAGATCTCTTGAATCCAGGAGTTAAGGACCCTGTCTCTATAAAAAATACAAAAATTAGCTGGGTGTGGTAGCACATGCCTATGGTCACAGCTACTTGGGAGGCTGAGGTGGGAGGATCACTTGAGTCCAGGAGGCTGCAGTGAGCTGTGATTGTGCCATTTGCCATTTTAATGGCAAAACCCGCAATTACTCTTGCACCAACCTCATCTCCTATTTTCAAAAGCCTGGAATTACACTCCTGGATTCCAATTTCATAACTTTATTGACATTAGCGCATATTTGTAGAACATACTTATATTTCATTGAGTCATATGGTGAGGTTAGTTTTCTCTAGGGATTTCACTTTGTCTTTGATTTACTTTTGTATTTAAATTTAGGGAATTTATGTTTAGATGTATTTACTATTGATTAGGGCTGAGGTAAAAAAAGGGATAGGCAGCTGATACCCATGAGGTAGGTGTCAAAAGTTTCTCTTCCTGACTCTTGCCTCAACATGTCATACATTTCTGCACATGTTTTGGTAATGGTTCCATTTTGCAGCCTCTTAACTTGATTGTTTCGTAATCTGTTTCTCAGTATCTTCTTGCACTTTTGTGTCTCTTTTTTTTTTGTCTCTCCATTATATCTTCCATTCTCTTTTTTATCTGCCTCCCTTTCTTAATTGTCCAAAATGTAGAGTTGACTCTTGAAGAATGCAAGGCTTAGTGGCTGGTTTCCACCTCAAGGCCGTTGAAAAATTGTGTATAACCTTTTACTACCCATAGACCTAACTACTAATAGACTATTGTTGAGCGGAAGCCTTACCAGTAACATAGTCAGTTAACACATATTTTGTATTATGCAAAAAGCACAAAGATTCTGCATGTGCTGATGTAGCTGCATTGACAGTTTCATGAATTTTCTCTTTTAATTATAATTATTATTTTTTTTTACTATGGTCCTTTTGCTGAATTCATTTATCTTGAAATGGTGCACATCCACAGCTGTAGACTTCAATCTGTGGTATTGACTCAGATTTCAGCTTTTTCTTGTAATGTTGTGACTTTACTGTGCTTCTTGAAAGCACTTTCAGCTGCACTGGTGTCACTTCATATGGGTCTCATGGTGTTATTCAAGTTTTATGGTATTGGACTAAACAATGAGATATATGTGAGAACCATGATCACTTTTTACAATGACAAAATGTACTGGAGAGATGAAATGCTCACATGGAGATGATTAGCGTTATACAGCATTTCAGGCAGATAGACTCACCACAATAGCAACCCAAGATGGGGTTGACAATTTTACAGTTGTATAGTATGTACCACATTTAATTTTATATAGTTATGATATAATGCTGCATCTTTATGTTTGTTTTGTTTTTTTTTTAAATCTTATTTTAGATTCGGGGGTACATATGCAGGTTTGTTTGATGTATGTATTGTATGATGCTGAAGTTTTGGGTGTGAATGATCCTGGCACTCAGGTACTGAACATAGTACCCAGTACTTAAGTTTTCAACCCTTGTCTCCTTGCCTTTAGTCTCCGGTGTCTGTTGTTGCCATCTTTATGTCCATGAATACCCAATGTTTACCTCCTGCTTATAAGTGAGAATATGTGGCACTTGGTTTTCTGTTTTTATGTTAATTTGGTTAGGATAATGTCCTCCAGCTGCATCCACATTGGTGCACAGGACATAATTTCATTCTTTTCTGTGGCTGCATAGTATTCCATGGTGTATATGTACCACGTTTTCTTTTTCCAATCTACTGTTGATGGGCACTTGTATTGATTCCATGTCTTTGCTGTTGTGAATAGTGCTGCAGTGAACATGGGAGCATGTGTGTCTTTTTGATAGAAATATTTTTTTCTTTTGGATATATATCCAGTAATAGGATTGCTGGATTGAACTGGGTACAATGGTAGTTATTTGAGAAATCTCCAAACTGCTTTCCACAGTGGCTGTAGTAATTTACATTCCCACCAACAGTGTATAAGTATTAATTTCTCTTTCTCTGTAGCCTTGCCAGCATCTGTTATTTTTTTGACGTTTTAGTAGTAGCCACTTTGACTAGTAGGAAGTAGTTTCTCATTGTGGTTTTGATTTGCCTTTCTCAGATTAGTGATGTTGAGCATTTTTTCATGTTTGTTGGCTGCTTGTCTTCTTTTGAGAGGTGTCTCTTCATGTTATTTGCTCACTTTTTAATGGGGTTGTTTTGTGCTTGTTTAATTTTTTAAGTTCCTTAAAGCTTCTGAATATTAGACCTTTGTCAGATACATAGTTTCTGAATATGTTCTCCTATTCTGTAGGTTTTCTGTTTACTCCGTTGATAGTTTCTTTTCCTGTGCAGAAGCTCTTCAGTTTAATTAGGTCTCACTTGTTAATTTGTTTTCTTGCAATTGCTTTTGAGGGTTTAGTCATAAATTATTTCCCAAAGCTGATGTCTAGAATGGTGTTTCCTAGGTTTTCTTCTAGATTCTTATAGTTTGAGGTATTACATTTAAAATTTTAATTTATCTTGAGTTAATTTTTGTCTATGGTGACAGATAGGGTCCAGTTTCTTTCTTTTGCATAATGTGTGGCTAAGTCTTTTTACCATTTATTGAAGAGGGAGTCCTTTCCCTATTGTTTATTTTTTGTTGACTTTGTTGAGGATCAGGCTTTTGTTGACTTCGCTGTAGATGTGTGGCTTTTTTCTGGGTTCTCCATTCTTTTGGCTTATGTATCTGTTTTTGTGCCAGTATCATGCTGTTTTTGGTTAATGTAGCCTTATATATAGTTTGAAGTCAGGTAATGTGATGCCTCTAGCTTTGTTCTTTTGGTTTAGAATGCTTTGGCTGTTCGGGCCCTTTTTTGGTTCCATTTGGATTTTAGAATTTTTTTTTTCTAGTTTTGTGAAAACTAACGTCAGTAGTTAAATAGAAATAGCACTCAATCTCTAGCTTTCTTTGGACAGTATGGCCACTTTAATGGAATTGATTCTTCCAATCTTTGATTATGGAATTTTTTGTTTGTTTGTTATTTCTGATTTCTTTGAGCAATGTTTTGTAGTTCTCCTTATAGAAATCTTTTACCTCCTATGTTAGATATATTCCTAGGTATATTTGTGTGTGTGTGTTTGTGTGGCTAATTGTGGGATTGTGTTATTGATTTGCCTCTCAGCTTGAACAATATTGCTGTATAGAAATGCTACTGATTTTTGTACACTGATTCTATATCTTAAAACTTTTCTGAAGTCATTTATCAATTCCGGGAGCCTTCTGGCAGATTCTTTAGGGTTCTGTAGTATAGGATCAAATTATCAGTGAAGAGAGATCATTTGACTTCTTATTTTCCTATTTGGGTGCTTTTCTTTGTCTTGCCCAATTGTTCTGGCTAGGACTTCCATTATTATGTTGAATAGAAGTGATGAGAGTGGGCATCCTTGTCTTGTTCATTCTCAAAGGAATGCTTTCAGTTTTTACCTGTTCAGTATGATGTTTGCTATAATGGTTCCTGTTATTTTGAGGTATGCTCCTTCGATTCCTAGTTTCTTGAGTATTTTTATCATGAAGCGGTGTTGGATTTTATATAAAGCTTTTTTTCATATCTATTGAGATGATCACATGGCTTTTAAAAAAATTCTGCTTCAGTGTTCAATCAAATTTATTAACTTTTTGATATGCTGTTGAATTTGGTTTGTTAGTATTTTGTTGAGGATATTTTCATCTATGTTCACTAGAGATATTGGCCTATAGTTTTCTGTTTCTGTTGTGTCTTTGCTAGGTTTTTCATATCACATCAGTGCTGACTCTGATTTTATTTACTTCAAAGTATTTTTTGATTTCTGCCGTAATTTCATTGTTTAGCCAAAAGTCATTCAGGAGCACGTCTTTTAATTTCTATGTAATTGTGTGATTTTGAGAGAGCATTTTGATACTGATTTCTATTTGTATTCCACTCTGGTCCAGGAGTATGATTTGTATGATTTTCATTTTTTTTAAATTTATTGAGACTTGCATTATGGCTGAGCATGTGATTGATCTTGAAGCATGTTCTGTGTGCAGATGAGAAAGATGTATATTCTGCGGTTGATGGGTGAAGTATCACGTAGATGTTTATTTGGTCTAACTGGACAAATGTCAAGTTTAAGTTCAGAATTTCTTTGTTCGTTTTCTGCTTTGATGATGTGTCTAATGTTGTCAGTGGGGTGTTGAAGTTCCCCACTCTTCATGTGTGGCTAAGTCTTTTCGTAGGTATAGACACACTTGTTTAAGAATCTTCGGTATTCCAAACTTGGGTGCATATATATTTAAGATAGTCAAGTCTTCTTGTTGTATTGAACTCCTTATTATCATGTAATGCCTTGTTTACTTTTACTTTTGTTGGTTTAAAGTCTGTTTTATCTAATGCAAGAATAGCCACCCTAACCTGTTTTTATTTTCCATTTGCATGGTAGATCTTTCTCCATCCCTTTATGTTGAACCTTTGGGTGTTATTATGTGTGAGATGGAGTCTCTTGAAGACGGCACATGTATGGATCTTTTTATCCAATTTGTGACTGTGCTTTTTAAGTAGGGTGTTTTGACCATTTGCATTCAGTATTAATATTGATAATGTGAGATTTTGATGCTATCATAAAGTTGTTAGCTGGTTGCTTTGTAGTTTCTATTGCATTGTTGCCTGATAGGGTCTGTGGGCAAAGTACTTAAGTGTGTTTTTGAGTAGGAGGTATCTTTCCTTCAATTCCATGTATAGAAATCTCTTAAGGATTCCTTGTAAGGCTGGTTTAGTGGTAATGAATTCCCTTAGCACTTGCTTGTCTGGAAAAGGTTTTATTTCTCTTTTGCTTATGAAGCTTAGCTTGGCGGAATATGAAATTCTTAGTTGGAATTTTTTTTCTTTAAGAATGCTGAAAATAGGCCCCCAATCTCTCCTAGCTTGTAATTTTTCTGATGAGAAGTCCACAGTTAGCTTGATGGAGTTCCCTTTGTACATGATATGACCTTTTTCTCTAGATGTCTTTAAAATTTTTTTCTTTAGTATTGACCTTGGACAGCCTTGTGACTGTATACCCTGGTGATGCTCATTTTGTGTACTATCTCACAGATGTTTTCTAGATTTCTTATATCTGGATGTCTACCTCTCTAGCAAGATTGGGGAATTTTTCTTGAATTATTCACTCAAATATGTTTTTTAGATTGTTTACTCTTTCTCTTTTTCTCTTTTCTCAGGAATGCCAGTAATTCATAGATTTGGTCATTTTACATAATCCTGTTTTTATCAAAGACTTTGTTCATTCTTGAAAATTATTTTTTCTTTATTTTTGTTGACTGTATTAATTCAATGCACTGGTCTTTAAGCCCTGAGATTCTTTCCTTAGCTTGGTCTCTTCCGTTACTAATGCTTTCAATTGTATTTTGAAATTTCTTAAGTGAATTTTTAAATGACTGAAGCTCTCATTGATTTTTTTTTAAAGATGTTTATCTCTTCTCATTTCCTGGCTTGCTTTAGAAGTTTCTTTGGAAGACAGCAAATCACACTGCCACGTGTGTACCTATGCAACAATTTTGCATGTTCTTCACATGTACCCCAGAACCTAAAATGCAATAAAATAAATAAATGGGAAAAAATAAATAAATAAATAAATAAATAAAAATTAAAAAAAAAAAAAGAAAGAGAATGATAAATTTGGCTATGTAAAAATGAAAACCAAAAGATGAAAAATTATTTCCTCAATTTTCTTACTAGCTTCTGATTTTAAGTGAAATATAAAACCTTGTTTGTTAAAGGCGTGTAACACTGGTGTTCTTACGTGGAGAATGCAGACCTCAGCATAATGTTGTTTAAGACATTTTATCAGAATGGGAGCATTGTTTTCCTTCTGCGTAAGTGAACAATAAATACTATGTGTGAGAATGAAAAAAAAAAAAAAAAAAAAAAAAAAAAAAAGAAGAAGTTTCTTTGGGTTGATTTTCAACTTTGTCCTGGATCTTACTGAGCTTCCTTACAATCCATGCTTTGAATTCTTTCTGTCATTTCTGAGTTTCCATTTTGGTTAGCAACCATTGCTTGACAGCTTTAGGGTGATCCCTTGGAGGTGTCAGTACTTTGAGATTTTTCATGATGGCAGAATTCTTGTACTGGTGCCTTCTCATTTGGAGACACTGGCACTTCTAATTTTTGTCATTTTCTCACAGGTAGGATTTTTTTCTTTCTTTGTTTCCCTGTAATGTTATTTTATTTTCTTTCCTTTTCTCTGTCCTCTACCCTTCCCTGTGGGTGAGAATGTAGAGAATTCTGGTTAGGTTCTTTGGCTTTGCTTCTATAGCCCTATGTACTGCTTTTGGCAGGTTTTATATTGGGCTGTGTAGTTTGATGTACAAGCCAGTAGATGGTGCTTATATGGTGGCCAATGCAGTTGGGTATATACTTGATTCTTGTTTATTTTCGGAAGCTCTCTGTTGTGTCAGGCAGTGTACTGATTGTTTGAATGCACAGTGGTCTGAGCTCCCTGCTTAGCTGCCATGGGGTAGGGGCCATGAAGGGCACAGATAGACAAGCACATCTACCCACACATCCCCTGACAGCCGGCACTTAAATTTCTCTCAACTGTGAATGGCACCATGTATGGTTTATAAGTGTTTGTATATGTAAATTTGGATAAATCATAATTTTTAATGATAGACTTGTATATATTTGATGGCAGAAAATTATCACAGACTAGTAGCTACATATATTTCATGCATTCATGACATATATTTTTCTTAATTTTTTTTGGTATTTCTAGGCCACATGGTTTGCATGTTTTTCATGTTGTCACAGATCTTCAAAAATTTTCCCAATTTAGTTTTAGGAAAAAATCCACAAATAAGTGGACCCATTCATTTCAAACTCATGTTGTTCAGCAGTCAAATGTAGTCCTGAAAAGCAATATTCATTATTTGTTATTTTATATTTGCTGGGTTTTATTTTCCCTTTCAATTTCTCAGATTAGTCTCCTTTTCAGTTGTATGACTTTTAATTGATTTTTAAATTGACAGGATAGTATGCTGTGTAGTCATAGAGAAACTATGTTGTTTTGTTGTGCCTTGTATGCCCAGAGCCATGTAAGTAAGCATTGAATGACTATAAATTAAACTCTATAGGTCATTGCTCCATGAATTTTTTTTTTAAAGGAGGAGTTAATTGTATATGGTACTGTAATGGAAGAATTTGATTTGAAGTTATAAATTTTGGTTTATTTTATAGAAAACGTTAAGTCATATACCATAGCTGATTAATTGAAGTCTTACTTTTTTTCATCACATTTAATGAGTGGTTCCTACTGACCAGAACAAACTAGTTTTTTTCACTACCGTTACTTCATTTTACTTATTACTTATGAAATAGAAATGTAATTGCTAAGATGCACACTGGAAAATATGACCTATCATACATCTCCTATTGAAAACTAGTTTCCTAGTTTCTACTGCCTTTTTCTATCAAACAGAACAAACTAAATGGAAAATCCATTTAATGGAACGCCACTGAGTAAATTTAAGATTATTGTTGGCCTTGGAAAAATTCAGTTCCTCTGTGAAATTTCTTGAGCTTCTTCAAAAAGATTCTATATAAATACCACGTTGGGGATATTGATACTGTAAAATCTTTTTAGACTTCAAAGTTTTATTCCATAAACTGGCTTGTGATTTAATTAATATATTGTTCTTTTAACATTATTCATTAGATTGTTTCAAATTAAGTATTTCAATCAATTTAATATGTTGCAATGTTAAAATAATAATTATACCCTTTTATTAGAATTCTTTATTTCGTTCCTTTTTCCCTGTAGCAAATCTTTGTTTTCTAGATTAACAATTTATTTTATCAGTAATGCTTCCATTAATCACACAATAGACTTTTTTTTACATACAAACGTTTTTATTCCTAATGAGTGATGAATAGACTCAGTAAAAGTTGCTCAAAATGTTTTTGCTGGTGGATTGGAATATCATGGATATACATACTTTTTTCCACAGGAGAGAGCTTTAATTGTTACTAAAGTCAGGATAATTCAGTCACTTCTGTACTTTGAGAAGCTGATTTCTGACATGTTTATGAAAACTGCTTAATCCTTTAATAGGTGACTAAGTTTTTGAAGACAGCATCGTGACGCTTGATACCTGCAAAAATGATGTAAAAAGGAGCAATTTTCATTTTACTCTTTATATCTTCAGTTCTGGTGTGAAGTAGAATAGCAGTTTTGGATTGAAAGCTCATCTTAATTTTTCTACCCATCTGTCTAGTTGGTATTTAGATAC